GAAATAATGCTTATCGCCATGGCAAAGTGGACGAGAAAAGTTAATTATGGAAAGTGATGTAAGGCAGTGGCTCTTTATTTGGGGTGAACACCCCCCACCCCCCAAAAATTGTGTGTACTGTAATTCTTTCGAATTGCTTTTTAATATTAAATACACCGCTGTCCTTCTATATACTCAGACGGTAACACCAAGAAATCAATCTTGATGATTATATTTTCCCAGTCGATGGAAGAATGTCGTGTCTCTTACGACACTGACTGCTGAAATAGTATAAAAATTGCTACCTTAAATTAATAGCCATCTTTTTCTCTCTCTCTCTCTGCCTCTTTCTCTCTCTCTCTTTATATATATATATATATATATATATATATATATATATATATATATATATATATATATATATATATACCTACGTTTGGTGCGCGACTTAAGTTTCGTTCGTTACCCAACTCGTCAGGTACAAGATCTTGGAAAAATTTGCACGTAAATTGTTTGTTTGCTAACCTGTGTATGCACGTCATCACAGGTGTATACGGTTGCTAATATCTAGTTATTTAATTTGTCTAAACTTAATAAATTGGTCACAGTCATCAACTCAGAATATCACAACTTAAAACTTTCCAAAATAATCGGAGACTACAAACCTGGATACATGTATGGAAGCATAAATATATAGAAATATAACTTCCCTGTCCGTTCCATAACATCCCAGACTCCCCACTCCGGTTTACCAGTTAACCAAAATCATCAACCAACTCATATCACCATACATACCTAGTAAATACAGTATGCTGTCAACTTATGAACAAATCCATATCTTAAAAATCACAAAAATCTAATAATGAAACCGTTTGATATTTAAATTTTATTTACCAATGTTTAAGTTAAAGATACGATTGATATAATTATAAATAATATTTACAACAATTAATTTGTCACTCCACTAAAAATCAAATCTAATATATTACGAAGAATACGTTTGATTTTTGCCATCACTGGTTATCCCGCTTGCACTGGGAAGCCTTGTTCCCATAAGATCGTAACAACACCGGCTAATTTGAAAATAGTTATAGCAGAGCGCGTTCGCGCGTGTATACAAAAATGACTATCAAAAAAATTACAGTTACATTGAATTCGTCTTTACAATTCAGCCTTGAGAATGATCTCGTAGCAGATCGAAAGTTCTTGGGTTAACAATCACTACAGCCCCTTCTTTGATGAATTTCATCTTAACATCAAGATCTTAATTAGAGAACTAGTAAGGATTATTATAAAAGAGACAAAATATTTGTATATTATTTAATGAAATATGCTTGAATGAAGATATGCTACCTAAATAAACATATGTGTGTTTAGGCATATATTGATATTAACCAATATCTATCCTACAGGTACGCATAATAAGCACTTTAAACTTCCTGCTTGCATATCCCTTACAATAAGTACATTCATTAACCCTTTACCTATAGGTGCCATTGATCATTGTGTGAAAAACGAAAAGCTCTAATCAGTGTTTATATATATATATATATATATATATATATATATATATATATAGTACAGGTAATAACTGATCTACGGCGATCTCGATGTTTTTATTTTAACAGGGCATTTTTTTCAACAAAAAAAAAAAATACCTCAACATAGATATAGTTTGTTTCTTAGACACAGATGATAGCCGTATACAGTACGGCTTTGTGCTATCAGAGATAGAGCGTGTGTAAATATAAAAAGTCAACATAGAAGTCAACACTTAGAGGCGACAGTCTGTTTCATGCTAGACAGAGTGGCCTGACGATTGCGTCTAGCATGAAACAGCCTGTCGCCTCTAAATGTTGACTTCTGTGTTTCTTTTCGTATATATATATATATATATATATATATATATATATATATATATATATATTATTTTGGATAGGCATGCCCCTTATGAAAAAAAATATGAATGATAATTTATTCACCTACTTAATAAATATGAGATAACCCAGGATCAAATCGGTTATTTTTGCTGAAGTGCGATGTAATATCAGTCTTCATACATAGCGGAGCATGTTGGACAATTTCTTCAGATGTGAAGAATAGACTTGAG